TAGGCGGGCTGGTAGCCGGGAGCGCGCTTCTTAAAGGGACCGTCTGATCACAGGTAGGGCTTGCGCTCTTTGTCTGGGCTTGCTCATGCCTTTCCTGAAACGACCACTGAAGAGAATCTGGAGGCGACGGACCCACTTTCAGAGGTTCTCCCCGTTTCTGTTCAGGCTGGTGGAGGACACTAGAGCGGCCTTCCGCCGCTGCTGAAATCCTATACTTACGCAGCAAGGATCAGCGCGTATCAAACTGGGCTTTCCTTGCTCTCGTTTTACTCTACTTTGGTCAACTCCAGTCAAAATCTAGGAGTCACTTCCCTTTTCCTCCAAAACCCTACATCCAGTCTTTGACCTAGTCTTGCTGACCCTAAGCTCCTAGCATCCTGTTTCTTCCACTGTTCACTGCCGCCATCTGCCATTTTCAAGCTTTGAAATTCTATTCTTGGGTATCGATAATAATTACCTATTAGGTTTTGGGTTTTTCATTTTTTCGACATTTTAAAATTTGGCATGCGGGGGCTTCGTGTAGCAGTGGAGGTTGGAGGACAACTTGTACGAGTTTCCTTCTTTCCCATGTAGGTACCCCGGGATCAACTTAAGGTGGTTGGGCTTTCTGGTAAGAACATTTGATTTTGAGACAGGGCTTTTGGTAGCTCAGGCTGGCCTTGAATTTGCTATGCATTGAAAGATGACTCTGAATTTCTGATCCTCTTCCTCCTCCCTTTCCTCCAGACTATAACAAGTTTATGCTGAGCTGCAAATCAAATCTAACGAAAGCACAACTTACCTAGCAGGTGTTGAAGATTACATGAAATAATCCATGTAGTACCTGTTTTAATCAGTGTTAGCCATCATTATGTTTGTCGAACACTTAACAGAGTAAGGAAGTCTATAAAGGAGCTACTGCTACTGTGATTTCTTCCCTTGCAAGCTCGATAAGCAATCTATGGGGGTGGAGTGATGGCGATTGAAACTAGGGCCTCACACATGCTAGGCAAGTGTTCTACCTACCACTGAGCTATATGCCCAGCCTCATAAACAATCATCTTGTGACTTCATTGCCTATCACAGTGCTTGGTACATATTAACTAAACAAATTAGAAGATATACATAGATTTCTACAGCTTAAATTATGGGGGCAGACAGACATAAAGTTAGTAAATTCTGTAGTATGTTGGAAGGTAATGTCAGAAGAACAGGAAAGAGTGTTGGTGTGCAAGTTTAAATAGAATGGGCAAAGCAGACTTCACTGAAATGTTAATCATCAAGTATCTGGGCGATTCTAGATAGAGTGAAGGCACTCAGCTGTTGTGTTTAAGAAGTAACAAGGGGGCTGGAGAGATGACTCAGCTGTTAAGGGCACTGGCTGCTCTTCCAGAGGTCTTGAAAACAACAAAAAGAAAGGAGGGGGATGGAGAGATGGCTCAGTGGGTAAGAGTGCATTTTGCTTTTACAGAAGACTCGGTAACTCCAGCATCCCAGTGTACACTTGTCAATTTGACACACACCAGGGTCATCTATAATGAGGGAATAATTGCATCTGTCAGATTGGCCCATAGGCAAATATTTTCTTGATTAATGATTGATGTGGGAAGACCCAGCCCACTGTGGGTACTATTACCCTGGGCAGGTGGTCCTGGGATATATAAGAAAGCAAGCTGGTCAAGCCATGGCCTCTACTTCAGTTCCTGCCCTCACTTCCCTTCCTGATGGACCACAACAGTCAGCTAAAATAACTCACCACACTTTTGCTCATGGTGCTTATCATTGCAATAAAAACCTAATTAGGACACAGAGATCCTGTCTCTGGTCTCCGAGGGTACCAGCACTCATGTACATACACTCACACACATACACCTCACAGTCACAGACATTCACAAAATTAAACTTTTATTAAAGAGAGGAGCCAGAGAGATGGCCCGCTGGATAGCACAACCTGCTATTCTAGAGGACCCATACTCAACTCCCAGTACCCACATGGCAGCTCCCAATTGTCTGTACTGCAGTTCTAGAGGATCTAGTGCTGTCCTCTGGTCTCTGTGAGCCCCAGGCATGCACCGAAACCAGGCCATATCTGGGAATGTGGGGGAAGACACCTGGCAACATCTGGGGACACAAAGATGACAATTTGCTACTCTTTAATGGAGAAACAGAATAATTTATTATTGAACTATACCAAATCCAGAGGTAGGCAGAGGATAGTATGAAACTAATTCAAAGAGGGGTCAGACCTGGCATCTGAGAGATGAATAGGTGTGCTATAACTTGGGGGGTTTTGTTCAATGGTCCAGTGCCTGTCTTGTTGTACATGGACTCTAAGGTTAATATCTAGCACTACCATTTTTTTTGTTTTTAAAGTGTGCTTGTATCATATAGGGATGAAACAATCACTTGAATCTGGTAACTGCCTGTGGAGCTGGCAGGGAAATACCTATGAATCTATTATGTAGATACTAGACCTTGCAGAAGTGAAATCTCAGATTATTTACTGAATTGGCTTGGCATACATACAACTCAGTGTAGGAGAGCAAGGGCAACTCAGTTCCAATGCAGTTTGTATGACTTTGCCTTTTCCACATCCATTCCTTCTTCCAACAAGAAAACCAATTCTCGAGGAATTAGCCTTCCTCACTCTGTCCATTTGTGCTTGAATCAGTTTCCTTTCAGTTCCAGTGGGCAAATGATAGGCAAATCAGAGCATTTCAACATCATTGCTACTTAAGCAAAGTGACTGGCTTGAGTTGAGAGAGGCAATTAGTGAACCTAGTCAGGTAAAATTAGAATTTTTCTTTTTTTTTCCCTGAGACAGTGTTTCTCTGTGCAGCTTTATAGCCTGTCCTGGAACTCATTGTGTAGATCAAGCCTGCCTCTGCCTCCTGAGTGCCGGGATTAAAGGTGTGTGCCACTACTGCCAGGCTGAGATAGTTACATAGTGTATGTTACAACTATCAAGAAATAAACTTGAGACCCTCCCCCGTTTGTGGCAACTGATCAAAGAGAAGACTTGCAGCCACCCCAACATCCAAGTGATTTGTCTACCAGAATGAAAATTTAGATCCACCTGCCTCTGCCAGGGTTAAAAACACTTGTTTTGTTTTGATAGGCCTGTACTCTGAAGAGGGAAGGCAGAAAAGGTCAGGGTTAGTTAGGCTTTGTCCCAGAAAAGTCTCTGTGAGGCTTGAGAATATTTGTGATTTGTTTTTGTCAACTTGACACACAATAACTTGGGGAAGAGTCTCAATGATTTGGCCTGTAGTGATTATATTCTCTATGTTAACTCAAGTGGAAGGACTGGTCCCTGGGTTTGGAATCCTGGATGAAGAGATGATGAGTTTGAGCACCCATGCTCTCTGCCCTTGACTGTGGTTATAACCAGCTGCTTTAGCTTCCTGATGCCTGGACTTCCCAATGGCCTGCAATCTGGTACTGATAAATAGAGCTGTTCCCTCCCAAGTTGCTTGTCATGATGTTTTACTACAGCAGTGGAAAACAAAAGACAATTGAAGCTAGAAAAACAGGTTGATAGGATGACTGGAGGCTCCTAAGTGCTGCAAGGAATTTCAGTTTGAGTCCATGTCGACAAACCCGTCTAATTGGAAAATTAGGGTTAATTCCCAGTCACTTATGAGTTTGAATGGGAGTAGATAGCAGAGACATACTATATGAGAAGCAGGATAGCTGTCGGTAAGCAGTCCCCCCACCCCCCACCCCGCACCCTCTACAGTAACTCCCTTCAGAATGGTCTGATCTTATTTCCCCATGAACATCGCAACAGAGGGAGCAACATACAAAGAATTAGAAGTTTGAAAAGCACCAGGGAAGAAAAGCAGGAGCTGGGACCTAAATGCTGTCTTGCTTTCTTCTCCCACAAGTGCTGAGAAGGATTAGGGAATGCTGCAGATTTAACAGTATCAACCAGTAAAGATGTAAGATGTAGAAGCCAAAGGGTAGGTGGGAGAGGGGTCGATTTTTGTATCTTAGGACCCAACACCCATGAACCGGGCTTGTAAATTACTAGGCACAACTAAGCTACCCTGTGCCATCCAGTCCAGCTAGACCCGAGACCCTTAGAAAAAGCTCAGGACAGGGCTACATAAGGAGACCCTACTCAAAATAATAAATACTGTTAGTAAGTAAAGTGCTGCAGCCAGAACCAAGATTCAAGGCCAGCCTGATTTAACCCTGTCTCAACAAAACACACACACAAAAGCTAATGTTACTATGTGAAGGGGAGAGAAGAAACGTCATTGTGTGGGAGCAGTATCAATGAAGGCAGTGGGGGACAGGTATGTAATTGCAGTGTATGCCTGCAATTACAGCACTTAGGAGGCCGAGGCAAGTATGAAGCCAGACTGGAATAGTGAGACCTCGGCCTCCCTTCCCCAGGACACTAATCAGAAAGCAGCAGGGGGTCTAGTTTCTCCACTATCGAAGCCCAGCATTACAGCTGGGCTTGAAGCACACCTTTAATTCCAGCACTGGGCAGGCAGAGGCAGGCAGATCTCTGAGTTTGAGGCCAGCCTGGTCTTCAGAATGAGTTTCAGGACAGGCTTCAGAGCTAGAGAAACCCTGTCTCAAAAACAAAACAAAACAAACAAAAACCCACAGCATTACAGACTTAGAATACTTTTATTTTCAACTTACCTGCACTAAGATAGATGGAGATCTCCCACTACCAGAGAAGGGCCTGGAAGCAAGGGAACAACTAAAGGATCCAAGAAAGGAAAGCGGGCTGGCAGAACAAGAGCCTTTGGAGCCTCATTCTGGCTGCTGGCCAGGCCTCACAACCATCCTTCTAGAGCCATTCCTGCCTCCACACTCCCACCCCAGTCCCTTGAGAGTCCATTGCCCTGGCAACAGCTAGAGAAAGGCCCAGAGTATCCAGAGGCTTGGGGAAAGCTGATGTCATCCTTCTCAGCTTGCAGGTGACTGACAAGCATGGTAGCTGGGTGGCTGGGCCAAACAGCCTAATCAGTCAGTTGTCAAAGCAAAAATCCCTAGGCCTCTAAGTAGTAACTGTTGAAAGGTGGAAGCTGTGGAAAACAGAAACTTAAATACTGAGCAGTATTCTGTACAGATCGAGTACTGGGCTTTAAAATACAGTTGTTTCTCAATTCCCATTAAGCAGGGAAGAATTACATACGGAATGAACAGGCCTTGAAAAATACACAAGTTAGCTGAAATTTGAATCCAGACGTCTGACTTCAGTTCTGAACCTTCCCAAAACATTCTGTGACTTTCAAGTGGCTATCTTGAGAGAAAATGTTAGGACAAAACGCTTGCCCAATATAGCTTGGGGGAGGGAGGGGCTGGGCTGGGCTGGGCTGGGCTGTCTCCCAAAGCTGATAGAATCTATTAGAGTAGAACCATTCACCATTCATCACTTGACCAAACCTTTATTGAACTCCTCATGCAGGGGCAGGTAGATACTTGTGTGATACACAGGTGAAGCAGGAACAGCCTCATCCTTCAAGAACTTTTTGGACAAATGTTAACAACAAAGATGAGAACAGGCTCAGAACTTCAAACAGCTTGCCCAAAGTAATGATTCTTGACTTTCCTTAGCACCTTACATACAAGGTGAGTATCTTCCTTAGAGTCCTCTAGAAATGTCTAAGGGCTTGAAGGCTGAAGGTCCCAACAAAGGTATGGTGGAGGTTGGGGTGAGCACGTGCAGTAGAGTGTTCCAACACATTCTATAGAAACTAAGGGGAAACAAGATACTGACAGTGGCACAGGAGCTGAGTATGTTCTGACCTGGACAGCCGTGTCAGGCATTTAGTCCTATCCCCCCTCCTCGAGACAGGGTTTCTGTATAGTCCTGGCTGTCCTGGAACTTGCTCTGCAGACTAGGCTGGCCTAGAACTCAGGGATCTGCCTGCTTCTGCCTCCTGAATTTGGGAATTAAGGATGTGTGCCACCATGCCCAGCTCCCTCTCAAGTCTTTAAAGTTGTTTAAAAATGTTTTTTTGTTTGTGAGGTGATGGAAAAGGTGCCCCTCCCACTAAAGTGGTTTGAGTAGGTGGAACAGTTAGCAATGAGTCTCTGGAAGCCCTGAGTACTCCATCCTGGGACTAAAGACTCCTAAGATCCTGGCTGGCTTTCAGGATCAAGATCAAGAGGTAGGGTGAAACAGAATTGTTGATCTCCTCTCGGGTTTCTATGTTGCAGCAAATGCCCCAGGCCAGCCTCTATACAGCAGGTAGCTCCTGGTATTCAGGGTCCTCTGACAGCTGCAAAGACACAAAGTGGAAAAGTAAGACACTTGAGGCTTGAGTTTGAGGGGCCTCTCAGCCTTCATCTGGTCTGGCTTTGTCCCTTACAACTCTGCCTTTCCATAGCTCAAGTCCAGTTGCTGCATTCAGCAGGGAGGTTCCTACGTACACAGATGGGCAGAAGACACAAGTACACAGGCCATGTGAGCTCTCTTTCTTTAATATTGATTTATGTATGTGTGTTTTGCCTGCATGTACATTTGCACATGAGAAGAGGGCATCAGATCCCACAGGACTATAGTTATAAATGGTTGTGAGCTGCCATGTGGTTGCTGGGAATTGAACTCAGGACCTCTGGGACGAGCAGCCAGTGGTCTTAACTGGTGAGGTATCCCCCCAGCCAGTCTGGTAATGTCATAAACCTCTGATCCTTTGACTATGATAGAGCAGAGTGATTTGGGGAAAAACAAATTAAACCTCTGACGCTTTAACCTTGCTTCCAGGTTTTATTTTTACTTCTTATTGTTTGAAATAGAGCATTACAATTTTATTATTATTATTATTATTATTATTTTTTTTTTTTTTTTTTTTTTTTTTTTTTGGTTTTTCCAGACAGGGTTTCTCTGTGTAGCTTTGGAGCCTATCCTGGCACTCGCTCTGGAGACCAGGCTGGACTCAAACTCACAGAGGTCTGCCTGACTCTGCCTCCCGAGTGCTGGGATTAAAGGTGTGCGCCACCAAAGCCCAGCTGAGTATTAGTTACTATTTAGCCCCAACTGGGACCACACTATGTAGAACAGCCTTGGCCTTGAATTCAGAGACATGTTTATTTCTACCTCCACTGTGCTGAGATTTAAGGTGTGCTCCACCATACTCCAACACCTCCAGCTTTCTAAATAGGAATATGCATTGGTTCTCCCAGACTTGAAAAGGCTTGAGTTCTTATAAAGGAGTTCATCCCTGGACCCTCATACCCAGGTTAATCCACAGAGGACACATTTTATGCTTGGGCATAGGAAACTGATGATAGAAAAAGGCCCTCAGAAGTGATTGTATCCACTATTGAAAAGACATTTAAAATTATGTGTATATGTGAGGGTGCATGTGCTCCTAGGTAGTACAGGTGCTTTTGGAGGTCAGAGGTGTTGACTCCTCCAGAGTTATAGGTGGTTGTGCATTGGTGGACACAAGTGCTGGAAACCAAAGCTGAGCTACCTCTCTAGCCCAGATGCCACCATCTTTTTCTTTTCTTTTTTGACAGGGTTTCTCTGTGTAGCCCTGGCTGTCCTGGAACTCACTCTGAAGACCAGGCTGTCCTGGAACTCACAGACCCACCTGAGTCTTCCTCCAGAGCCCCGTGGCTATGTAACACCATGCCTACAGTTGTTTCAACCCATAATCTCTTATGAAATTATGTACTAGGGACTTTTGTGCCCACCTAGTTCTCTATATTTTCACTTAAAGATTTTCTAGTGTCCCCTCCCTTTTTAAAAAATAGTAGGTTATATGCTTGCACACACCTTTAATCCCAGGAATCAGGAGGCAGAGACAGAGGATCTGAGTTAAAACCAGCCTGGTTTATATAGCTAATTCCAGACCAGCCAGGGGATACATAGTGAGACCCTCTTCTCAATTAAAAAATGAATGGGTTGAGCCAACAAGATAGCTCAGTGCACAAAGATGTAGCTGCTCCATGTTGCAATCCTGGAAACCAGAGTACAATTCTCTACCCACATACAGGTAGGAGAGGACCAACTCCACAGAGCTGTCCTCTGACCTCCATACACGTGGGGGACTTGCTGCCTACAAGCACACAGTACTGGGTACTACTGAGATACATCCCAATACTGCTAAAGACCTCACTCAGCTTTGGACTGGACTATCAAGTCTTCCAAACAGGCTCTCCATGTATAAACAAGTTTTAAAATCAGAAACATGGGTTGGGGTATGGCTCTGTAAAAGGGCTTGCATACCACACAAGCCCCTATGAAGTGTGAATGGCACACTCACGTAAGGTCTAGATTCTATCTGACCTTGAATCTGTCTCAGTCTTATCTTTTGCTTAGCTCAGTGTTCAGTATCCTATCCCAAAACCATCTCCCAAACCCCCAGGGCTCAGCCAAGTATTCTTTTAGATGGTAATTGCTCTTTTCTTAAGAAAAGAGAGATGACTCAGCAGTTAAGAGCACTGACTGTTCTTCCAGAGGTCCTGAGTTCAATTCCCAGCAACCACATGGTGGCTCACAACCACCTTGAATGAAATCTGGTGCCCTCTGCTGGCCTGCAGGCAGAAGACTGTATACACATAATAAATACATAAAATCTAAAAAAGAAAAAAGAAAATCCAGGTAGTACATACTCTCAATGGACTGATTTTCCTTTTAGAACTTATCAAAATATAAATTACTATTTTTTAGTAATATAAACACATTAAAGAAAATATGAAGGAACTAACTCCTCGGAGAGGAAAGAGTTCCAAGGAAGGACATCTCATAATTGAAATTATGTGGTTAATGAGTTTTCAGTGTAGTGTTCATTTCTCAAAATAGTCTGTGAGCTCCCTGAAGTGAGGGACTTACATTTACTACTGATCACTCAATCTCTTGTGACTAACATACAGCAGATGTTCTACCTTGTAAGTCAATATATAAAAAAGGATTAAAAGAATCATTTGTACCAGTTTCTAGAAAGAAGTTTATTAATAATCCTATTAGGGTGCTCACTTCAGCAGCACATATACTAAAACTGGAACAATATAGAGAAGATTAGCATGGTCCCTGTGCAAGGATGACATGAAAATTCGTGAAGCATTCCATATTTAAAAAAAAAAAAAAAAATCCTCTTAAAGACCGGGCAGTGATTGTGCAAGCCTTAAATCCCAGCACTCAGGAGGCAGAGACAGGCAGATCTCTAGGAGTTTGAGGCTAGACTGGTCTACAAAGTACTGTCCTGGAACTTAGAGAAACCCTGTCTTGAAAATCAAACAAAAACCTAATCTTATCAAGGGCTAGATGTGGCTGTTAGAAGAATACTTACATAATATATACAAAGCCTCAGTTTCAATTGCATGAAATTATGGTGTGGTGCTGTACATTTATTTTTATTTTATTTTATTTGGTGCTATACATTTATAATCTTAGCACTCAGAGGTGGAGGCAGGAGGATCAAAAGGTTAATGTCACCCTAATTACACAGGCAGTTCAATGATAGCCTATGTTGCACAAGACTGCTTAAAAAATTAAAAAGGGAGGCGTTGGTGGCCTATGCCTTTAATCCCAGCACTTGGGAGGCAGAGGCAGATGGATCTCTGTGAGTTCAAGTCCACCCTGGTTACAGAGCAAGTTCCAGGACCACCTCCAAAAGCAATGCAGAGAAAGCCTGTCTCAAAAAACCAAAAATAAAAACAAAGGAAGGCTATATCAGAGTAGAGTCTATTCCCTTCCCCTCATTGCTAGAATGGAACCCAGGGCCTTACATAACCTACCCAGTACCACTGAGCTTATTCATTTCTTTCTCAAAGGCACGTGTGTTGCCTCCCACAATCCAACTTCAAGGAGCTGGGAGATGGGACATGCTCAGCTTACACCTGATTCCAATCCTGTCTGTTTCAAGTCTCACATAACTAACCATATTATTTGGTGAAGAGTGGGCATACCCCTGGCTGACAAGCCAAGCTCCAAAGGGCAGCCAAGGGGCTGGAGAGATGACCCAGTGGTTAAGAGCACTGACTGCTCTTCCAGAGGTCCTAAGTTCAATTCCCAGCAACCACATGGTGGCTCACAACCATCTGTAATGAGATCTGGTGTCCTCTTCGGGTGTGCAAGCATGCATGCAGATAACTGTATACATAATAAATAAGATCTTTAAAAAAGGGGGGGAGGGAGCCAATACAGACATCTTAATACAGCATTAAATTTCAATCACACTCCAATTTCTGGTCCTATGTCTCAATTACTAACCCATCTTTTCTGCTAGCCTATGCCTCACTGTCCAGAAAAACCTCAAAGGATCTGACTTTTCAGGTGAACCACAACTTTCACAGGGCCTTCTTAAACACCTAGATTTAAGCCTTAAATCTAGGTGGAGGAGGGGCCTGGCTGTGTAACATCCATATCATGCTTGGAGTACAACCACAGGCCATCACTACATCATAGCCTGGGAATGGTAAGGGGGAGATGCTGCATCTGTGGTCAAGAAATGCCAAATAGGTGACTGGAGATCTGGTTCAGTGGTTAAAAGCACTGGCTGCTCTTCCCCAGAACCAGGGTTTTATTCCCAACACCTACAAGGTGGCTTACAACCATCTGTAAACGACAGTCCTACTAGTCCCAGGATATTCCACACCCTTTTCTGACCTCCACAGATACCAGACAGCCACACATGGTACACAAGCCTACATGTATGTAAAACACTCATACACAGAAAATAACCTCCACCCAAAAAAAGGCTGGGCATGGTAGCATGTGCCTTTAATTCCAGCACTTGGGAGGCAAAGGCAGGTTATGTCTCTAAGTTTGAGGTCAGTCATTGAAACACAGCTAGACCCTATCACAAAAGAAAACACAGAAACAACAGAAAAAGAAAATGGAAGGACAAGAAGCTAAGGCTATGGAATTTTTTCAGGGGAAATTTGTTTAAAAATAAGGTCTCATTCTGCAGTCTAGGCTGAACTTAAACTAGCTATATAAATGAAGGCTACCCTTGAATGTTTGTTTTGATTAATTGCCTCTACTTTGAGTGCTGGGATCACAGGCATGTACCACCATGCCTAGCTATTTATTTATGCAGTCCATGTATTATACACTCTTCCTATAAAATTCAAGTCCCTGCCAGACACAAGTCTGTCAGTTTATCTGTCTATAGTCAGGGTCTTGCTATGAAGTAAATGCTGGCCTTTTATCTCTTGCTTCTGTCTGCTGAGCGCTAGGGATTACGGCTGTGAGACAACACACAAAGCCTTTCTCCTGTAGGAGAGATGCAGTTAGCAAAGCACTCAATGAGAATGTATACTTGATCCTAAATATTAAACAAGAAATACATCAGCCCAGGGCATGGAAAATTGTTAACTGGCCCCAATTGGTCCAGGAAGCAGTGCTTACCACCATAAAATTTTGCTGCTAAAAGGCCTAGAAAAGACAGGCCTTTCTCTAGGCCTGGAAACAAAAGAATGGGTAATTAGGCAGTGTAGTGTACTTCCTCCCCTCCCCCAAACAGCTGCTGTCTCACACAGCTGTTTCCAAGCCTGTTAGATGCTATTAAATATTCATCAGATGTGTGCTAGCTTTAAACATGCAATGACTATTAATCTGGCATGTACATGTGAGTCTAAAGAGGTTGTAAATTGGTAAGAATTCAAATCTTTTGACTTAAGGAATCTAGAAGCAAAGTCAAAAGTGTGAATTCTAAACACCAAGGTTGGGAGCATCTTCCAGTGAACTGACTGATCTTGTGGTTACTCAAATTACAGAAGTCCAGAGTGCAACAGTAACGTAGGAGTCTAAGACTTAGGTTTGGATTTTAGCTTTTCAATGCTGTCATCCTCTAAAACACTATACACTGGAAGAATCCTGGACTAGCATATAGCATGGCATGCTATATACCAGCAACAATGCTAGCCTCACATGGTTAATTGTGAGAACTAAATCGGATGCTGGTATGATACTCCCAGCAATGACCATAGAATTGAGAATTTAAAAGGGAGGCAAAAGCCAGGCCTAGTGACACATGACTTTAATCCCATTACTCAGGTGGATCTCAGGTGAGGCTACCCTGGTCTATATACCACCAGGGCTACATAGTGAGACCTTACTATAGTATGAAATTACCAATACGGAGTCAGGTAGAAATATAAGGGTATTTAATAGGGAAAAGCCTTACTTACAGAGCGAACCAGCCAGCCGGTGGTAGTCTGTACAGCAAGAAGCAAAGAGAAACCGAAACCGAAAACGCAGTCCCCCTACTCACTCTGACCACGCCCTCACAAGCCCTCAGGTACTCCTGTAGCCAGCCCCTAAGAAGGCGTGGCTACAGCTTCCCCTACACCTTACCTCAAAAAAACCAAAATTAAGCCAGGCATTGGTGGCACACGCCTTTAATCCCAGCACTCGGGAGGCAGAGGCAGGTAGATCTCTATGAGTTCCAGGCCAGCCTGGGCTCCAAAGCTACACAGAGAAACCCTTTCTCGAAAAAAAACCAAAACAACAACAACAACAAAAACAACCAAAACTAATAATAATAATAATGCAGAAAACTCTTCTACTCAGGAGGTAGTTGAACAAAACTTTGATTAATAACCCTTTGAGAGTTTGTATCAGATGAGACTCAAGAATTCTGGCATAAGTGCCTTGTGTGATAAAACACACCTGTAAGCCCAGCACTTGGAAGACAGAGGCAGGCAAATCACTATGAATGAGGCCAGTATGGCTAAATAGTAAACAAAAAAATAAGATGGTCATCACAACCTTCAGTCCTTAGAGAGTTTTAAAAAGGTGAGGATGTAGTTCGGTTGTTAGAAGCCCTGAGTTCAAGCACCAGCAACAAATACCTAGCACTTAGGAGGTTGAGGTAGGAGGATCAGAAATTCAGGGTTAGCCTGGGATACATGAGAACAGAGTAAATAGAAACACAGAACACTACTATAAACATGGCCAAGTGCAAACATCCCATCCTTACCCAGCACAAATACAGGAACCAAGAATGACTTCAGGCAAAAGGAAGACAAGATGTGGGAGAGGATCATCCCTTTTATTCTCCAGCAAAGATGTGGTAGCATGTTAAGGCTTCTCCTTTCCCCTACCTGGCTAGTACCATTGACAAACATAGGTGTGACTCTAAAGTCCCAACTTTTCAAACTCAGCCCTAACCTAGTCTTAGTATTTATTATCACCACGTCCAATTTATGTGGTGCTAAGGATCAATGGCTTCATGTATGCCAGCCACTCACTCTACCAACTGAGCTGTATCAAAAGCCAGCTCCTGCATTCAGTTACAATAATGCTGAGAAGTGAGCAACTATCAGTAAAATGGAGACCTGGACTAGAGTTCTAAAAACGTACTATGGAAATAGCATAATTTAAAACTCATCCGTTTAAAGCCATAACAAGGTATTACATTTTCTTTCTTAACATGGTAAATTCTTAGTCATCCTTTAACGAACTTAAGTTTCCCCCTCCCCTCTGGCACTCCTGAGGCTTCTCAGCAACTCCAGGCTTCCTAATACTGTGTGTAGCAGCAGAATACCATAATTATATAGACCTTACCTCTCCAGTCACATGAGTTTCTTTAAGGCAGGGATGATAAAAAGATAAAGGCCTATGATTCAGCACAGCAATTTTAAAGGCTCACATGTTCAGCAAAAATCTGTGATAATGTCCTGGCAGAGGAAAACTCCTTCCAGGAAAATGAATGATGACTTGGGTTCTCCAAAATGGCTTTAGCTGGCAGGTAAAGGTCCTTCTAAATGCAGTATATACTTTAGAATGATCAGACTCAGAAATCATACATACTGCCTAAAAATCTCACCTGTGCTATGTTAACAGCTGTGTGACTTTGGCCATGTAACTGGTATTTTCTGAAGTTGAAGTTTTCATTATGTATAAATAATTATGGAGCCAGTGAGATAGCTCAGTGGGTAAAGGTGTCTGCAGTGCAAGTCTGGTGACTTGAGTTGAATCCCATGAACCCACTCACTTAAAGGTGGGAGGGAAAACCAACTATACAATGTTGTCCTAAGGCCTCCATACACATGCATTCACACACCTAACTTATTAAAGGGATGGTATCTACTTCACTCGAAAGACCAGTACAGAGTTCACTAAAGCCTCACTACAGAATGTTGTATCTGATATAAAAAAAGGGACTATCCTGTTACTTAGCAGCAATTGTTTCTTTGCAGCTCCCCTCCCCCACCTCCCAGGGTTTCTCTGTGGAGCCCTGGCTGTTCTGGAACTCACTCCCTAAATTCATTCTTACTTGAACAGTGGATAGCAATTGAGGGACAGAGTGCAAAACTGAATAAACTCGAACTCTGGTTAATTCCTACACTCCTAGACAAGGAAAGGTGTGTTCTAGTATTGTTTGTCATTGCCAAAAGTCCCTGTAAGTTCCATGTATGTAAACAGTAAATGGGCAGGTTAGAGCTTAACCTCTGAATTTCTAGATAGAGCAACACAAGGCAATCAGAACAGCTTCCTTACTTTAGCAGAACACAATGTAGTTCACAGGACTTTAATCACCTTGCTTTAAAATTACCTACCTAGCATCTAATAGCTGTATCATATAAAAGTGCTCAATGACACTAAATAACCCATCAGCTAATATTAACCTACTATTTTAGTACATATGTGAAAGGTAATAGACACATAAACATATATTACTTTTTTTTGATATTTTGTTGAGATAGGGTCTCTATGTATCCCTCCCTGTCCTGGAACTAACTCTCTAGTCAAGAATGGCTTTGAACTCAAGATCTCTCTCTGCCTCCCAAGTGTTGGGGGTTAAAGCTACAGAATGGCTTACATTACATATTTTTTTAAATTGTCTTCTTGGTTTTCAAGGCAGGGTTTCTCTGAGTAACAGCCCTGACTGTCCCGGAACTCACTTTGTAGACCAGGCTGGCCTCGAACTTACAGAGATCCACTGCCTCTGCTTCCCGAATGCTGGGATTAAAGACGTGTGCCACCACTGCCCACTGCTTTGGACTCTTGAGGGCTGAGATGATATTCTGAATAACCACACCAGATTCAATTTCCTTTTTGAGGAATTAGTTCTTTCTTAGGAGACTGCTAAAGTAAGGGCAGATGACTGTTTGCTATTTCTTCTACAGAACCTGCATGTTCAGTAGAAGAGGAAAGAAACCAAACACAGGTCAGAGCTTACCTGACCAAGCAGTGCTTCAAAGACCCCTGCATGTTCCACTCTTCTGCATCCACTATGGTTCCCAAGTTAGATTTCCTCCAAAACCTATGCTTCCCTGATATCCAGGAAGTTCCCTTTTCTTTCCATCAGCCACTTTGTTGTTTGCAAACACACTCCAAATAAACACTGCTTCAGGGGATCACTGGCAGAATAAAGCAGAATTCAAAAGATGGAAGTGGACACTGCCTGGTCTTAACTATTACACATACTCATTATGTTCTGTAAACTGACATAAAAGTGTGAGTACCGTGGTAAAAGTGAGTTTAGGAAAGCCTGGCCTGTTAACCACCTCTTAGCCCTGCTGCTTCGCCATCAGGACACATCTACCATCCTCAGTGAAAACCACCTTAACATACCTGACATGGGTCTTCGATACCCATTCTATTCCAGGAAAAGCCCCAGGAATTTTCAGTCACCTGAAAATTGAGAAATTAGGGATGAGTTCTTAGAAGAAGCTTTAAAGACATACAAAATAAAATAGAGAGAGATCCTGCATGCAATTTACACATTACAGGAAAGAAACATGCAACTTTTCAGAAAATTCAAATAACATTGCACTGTGAATATCAATATGGTCTTAGGGGGCTCATCCTTGCACATTTTAAAACAGCTCAGCAGAAAGCTTTACTCTAGGGTGCAGCAGGTCTTCTCATCTACAGTCATTGAAATTTTACAATGTGTCCTTTAAGATGTCAGACTTTGTGCCCAGGTAACATTACAGTTCACTTGTGATGGGCAGGATTATTAAGAGTTATGGAGAATTTATGCGGCAGCATATGGTTTTTCTTTTTACAGCTATTTTTATTAAACAATTTTTGCAAAGTTTTAACATTAAAATTAACAACTAAAGAATTGTTTATGCAAGTTGCTGTCACAGTTTATATAAAAGAGAAATATGTGCTATTAAAATCAGACATTTAGGTTACCTTTGGTTTTTTGCGATGCATGTTAGCTTTACACATCCTGATTCTCTTGCGATAATTTTCCTTTAAAAAGGGGGGTATAGAGTGATCTCTTTTCATCAAAACAAGACATAATGCCCTGAAAGCTGACTTCAAACCATGGTTGAAAATTCAGTTATTTACACTTTATCACAATCTATAAATACATTTTTTTTTGTTGGTGTGTTTTAAAAAGAAAAAAATGCCCATCATGCACTGCTACAGGCAGCTTGGCACTTCACACAAGAGGATTTTTCACCCCCGAGCAGTTTATGTGGCTCTTAGGGAAGGAATGAGGTTCTTGGGAATTAAGAGTGAAAACAGGGCCAACCAATTCCATTTTCTTACACATAGTCTTATGGGAGGGAGTTCAGGGCCAGCCTACCATGCCAGCACCTGCCCCAAGCCAGCTGAATTGTCAACAGCATCTCTAGGATTGGAGGGGACACCCTCAAGGGCACCCAGGTTTTGCTAAATTGTGGTATCTCAATGCAGGTGAAATTGGTGTCACTCTTTGGGGCCACTTCAGGGTTCTGCAGAAGGTGAAAGTTAGAGTGGCAGGCACTTAAAGCACCTAACCATTCACATGAAAACCAATCTCTCTCAGTCGGTTGCATTTTTCTCTCTAAAAATTAAATTTTTGATAGGGGTGTATAAAACTGCTTTCAACAACTTCCAGGGGGTGAAAAAGCTTTGATTCTTTTTAAACTAAAACTTAACAACTCATAAACTTTTTTTTTTGGTAAACTTAAAATAAAATCCCCACCACCACTTTTAAAAATGTCTCCAACTTTTAACAAGCCCATTAACTTTAGAGTTAATTTAAGTTTATATGAAAGAGAAAACTATTTTATTGTCCACCCCCAAAAATGACAATTCATCACATTTACTTTGATTAAAAAAGGACTAAACTTTATTGACAAACTGCTGCAGACATTTTGACATAGGTTTAAGCTACCTATTTAGGCAGACTTACACATGTAGCATTTAATCTTCCGAGAACAAAATGGGAGGACGGTACAAATCCATTAGGACTTTAACTTATGTACAAAGTGGATTTTGATTCCTTTCTCCTTCAGCTGCAGTGTCCCTTTTTATATCATGCTAGTGTTGAGACATACTTGACTACCTTGGGAACAGCTCAAAATTGACAATGGTCAATTTATTGAACATCATCAGCTTTTGGCCCCAGTGTCCAAGTGAGTTTTTCATGGAGTGCAGAATCTCAGATGGACAAAATACTCTGACATTTAAATACTGAAAATTTGATTATCAGTACTGTTACTGAAAAGATCGTGGCTAAAAAGTACTCCACCAAATCCCATTTGGGTGACCAGCTCCTCTCCCCTTCAATCTTATTCAAACCCTCCCCCCCTCCCACCCCACTAAGTATCTCTCAACACTGTATGTCTGGGGCTAGATTTCAAAACCCACATAATGAAAAACTCAGTTTTACAAACCTAATTTTGTTGTTGTTTTAAGTCAATTAACGTTAAAAATTGCATCAACTATTTAATTCATGAGGATCTTTCATATTAAAATTTAACCTTAAGATTCAACCGCCATGTGCTTTTAAAGGAAATGTTTTTAGAGACGTCTGAGCTCACTTTTACATGGTGGCACCTACTGCCGTTAACATTGTGATTTTACATCTTAAGCAGCCCTGAATTTTGAAATGTAGCCTAGTTTGGGATTCTGCAACTATGACTTTACGGGGTGCCTCAAATCAAAACTAAGAAAAAGTTAACAAGCCTTTACTTCAGAACCTTTAAGCAAGCAATGCCACTTTTGAAACTAACATGTTTGTTTGTTTTTTTTACTCAACTTCTTTTATTATAAAAGGTACACTGTTTATATTTAAACAACAAAGAAAAAAGCATCTACACACTTAAAAAATTAATTCGATATCCTAAATCTATTTTAACTCATTTTAAAATACTACATACAGAAGCCAGAATGCAGAGTTAAGAATGGAGGAAGGTTGGGAAAAGAAAGGGACCACGAAGAAAAACACTTAGACAATTACTTGTCTGTTGTGGGTAAAGCAACAGGAATCCTGGGATACAAGAAATCAGTAACAACTTTGCTCATAACTGATATTTTCCCCTCCTGTTTGTTTTTAATAACGTCCATATGGGTGCTCTCTGTATGATCCCTTCACTGGCCTAGCTGGGGGGGCCTTCAGTGATGGCCTGGTCCCATTCCAGTCATCTTGTCCTGTGGAAAAAGCAGAAACAGTTTATAAACCATGGGCCTTTTTTTTTTTTTTTTTTTTTTGCATAACCAGGGTAAGTCAACATCAGGTATGTATCACCAACAATGCTGTTTTTCTTCTAGTGTCTTGACACATTACCGGTGTTCCTTGCTCTCCCCTCTTTACTTGGCCCTCCTTGTCACCATGGATAATCTTTCATCATTTTGAGAAGATGACAAAAGGGAACAATTCAGAAAATGCTAGCCTTTACTGTACAGTTCTCTTGAGCAGCAACATGAATGATACTCTGCCCGAAAACCTGGATAAATGCAACACACCACTTAAGGCAGTAAAGGAGTCATTAATCCCAGAGAGGCTGCAATAGCCATTCCTGTTCCCCAAGCCATTTGGCACTCATCCTCAGGATAGCAAAACATCTCAAAAGTTTTTCACTTTTCAGATAGCTCCTTTCAATAAAAGAACAAGTCAGATTTAACTGGAAAAACGTACTCTGGTTCTATAGAAGCAAACAACGGCCACAATAAATGAGACCCTCCACCACAACATGGTATTACAGGACATAAAAAGTATAATGAAATACTGCATTATAAAACTGTTGAGAATTTCTTAGTTCTTTTCTCATGCCGACAGCCCTATCAAGCGTCAACATTCTCAAAAGGGTTTTGTGACAGGAGCCTGACAAGATCACTTACTTTTACAGATGACCTCTTATTTCCTCTTCCCACTAATTCCCTCATCTTTTGCCACACCAAGTCATGCCTACATGTAAATACTAGCTACCACTACCACAGGACTTACTTTTCTGTATGAATCAAAAATTGCATAGAATTCTACCTATGCTCCTGGTATAATATGCAAGGCCCATCCACTCTGCAAGATGCTCCTGGGTACCAACAAAAAATTTTGTTTCTAATTCTTTAGAAAGGCAGATACCAGTACACATTGATGATTACAACAGCATACAGAAACACAAGAATAACAGCATGCCTCTTTATTTTTAGAGACAGGGTCTCATTATGCATCTCATCTTAGGATAGACTTGAAGTTAGTCTGTAGCTTAACCTGGTTTCAAACTCACAGTCCTACTGCCTTAGTCTCCAGTGCCTGTGATACAGTCCGCACCACTATTTTGAACCAGGATCTGATTTAGCTCATGTTGCTTTCAAATTTGGTACATTGTGTGGATGATGACCTTGAGTTTCTGATCGTCCTACCTCTACCTCCTTCCCACTGCTAAGATTACAGGCATGTGCCACTATGCTGGGTTTCAGCCTCTTTAATTCAGTCTTTTCTCCAGCAAAATAGAAATGCAGTATTGCCAAACACATATACAAACTCTTGAATTGCCTCACTGATGGAGGGAAATACTGAGCTACAATCATTCCACCTTCTAAACAGTGACACATGAATGGAATGCTGCAATGTTACTATATCAACAATGCAGTACAATTTAGTTAAACCTGGTAAAAACTGTTTTAGGATTGGGGTCAGGATGTGATTTGTTATGCGATATCGTGCCAGTAAGTTAAGCTTAGTGTCTTAAGGGAGGACCCACTAACTCTCTGCAGAGTATCTTAAGATGAACTGTTAGCAGCTAAGCCCCTTTGCAAGGAATTCCTCAGGGATGCAGAAGACCTATGTTTATAAAGCCTGCTCTCACTGCATACAAATATCCTGAGAGACCCATTAATGAAAAGCCGTAATTAGCTCTTCAGGACACAACTGAGCAATGTGTTTCCAACCAAACCTCAGGGAAGGCAGTTTGGGTTTTGCTACCTTCCCAGCCTGTACTCCTTTATGGGATCAGTAACTGAGTTGAGGACTGGGGATGAAGCTCAGGTGATAGAGTGCTTGTCTAGCACACAAGAAGTCCTGAGTTCAATCCCTAGACACCACGTAAAACCAGACAGGGTAGCACATGCTGCAATCCCAGGAAAGGAATCAAAAAATCAAGGCCAAGCATCAGCTGCATAATTCAGAACCTGAAGAATTTGAGATAAAATAAATAAAAATA